ATATATATATATATATATATATATATATATATAAAAGCTCAACATGTATCTTTAAAATAATCTGTTTAGTTTATAAATTCACTTAAGTATTTATCAAACTTATTTTTGTTTCAGAGCAACAAATTGGAATAAAAAAATATAATCTTGTCCACTGATAAACTAAGGAGGTGTAACACTGTGTGTTTTGACTTATTTTATTTAATTGTTGTTTTTGCTATTGTTGTTGTGTTAGAGCTCTGAGATTCAAGAGATTTTGAGAGTTAAGTTCTCTCTAAGGTAGTCTAAAATCAGAGTTAGAATAGCTCAACTTAAAGAAGGTATATAAGATTTTTTTAAGATATGAACTTGATAAGTTTATGTTTTAAAAAAATTTACAAAAAGGCTATAGAGAGTTCTATGAAAATATGAAGAATTCTTCTTCACCTTCTTCTACTAAATCTCCCTTTCAACCTTCCCTTATAGTTGATTCAAGTGGATTGTTTGGAGAGTTGAGCTTCTCGAAGTAGGATTTTGAGTAAGAGTCGTGCAAAGTCTTCTTTCTCTTCTTCCTCATCTTTTCTCAGATGATCGACTAAAGATAAGAGAAGCTTGTGATTTGTTGATTCTTGTGTTGTGATTGATGTTTGTTATTGAATTCTTCCATTAATAATTGTTTTAGACTGAAATTGGAAAGGAAATGAGGATAAGTTGTTAAGTTTTGGTGCTTGGAGATGTATATGGGTGAAGGTAATGATTCTTAGAATGTGATGATTGCATGTTGTATATTGAGTTGATTTCAAGTTGTTTAGTGTGCTTGAGTGTTGAATTCTATATTGTGTGTTGGTTATTTGTTGGGTTTCAGGTGGATTAAACCAAAATGAAGTTCTATCGACCGTAGAAATTCTCATATGTTGGGCACGCTTTCATGGTATCAGACATGACTCAAGTTAGGGGTTCTCAATCTCATTATGTTGGACATAGGATTGGTGGTGTGTTGTCGAGCGTGAAAAGAGAAAGAATTGCCTCTTACTTAGTCATACCGGTCGTGAGTTTGAATAGCGTCAAACATGAGAAGAGAAAATTGTCTTTGCTTGAATTGATGTTGAGTGCTAATGTTGTGGTGTCGAACGTGAGTTAGGCAGAAACCTTTTACTTGATTGAGGTTGAATGTGGAGTTTTGCATGCTAGGCGTGAGAGACTCAAAGTTCTCTATCTCACCCATGCTAGGCACGGGTGTATTGATGTCAGACGTGAACGAGATAGAAAGCCCCAATCTTAATAGTGTCAGGGGTGATAAAAATGGCATCAGATGTGAGTTTTATGATAAAATGTAATATTTTCAATTGATTAATAGTTAAAGAATTATGATTAAATTATATGGTGAATTATGATTAAGTTGATATAATGTGTAGTGACATTTATGTTGCCAAGCTGTAAGCTAATAGATGATTAAGTTGCAAAATTGTATGATATTATAGTTGAATCAAGTTGTTAAGCATGTAGTGGATATACATGTCTTAGTTGAGATACATATGTTTCCTCTAGGATTTATGTGAAACAATATGGATGTGTGGTCAATCCATATTATAGTTGAAGTGACCAATCGAGTAAGACACAAGGTCAAGGCTTAAACCTTAACTTAGTATTAGAAGAATGTAATATTTGGAGGGTAATCAATAGAATGATCTCATACGAACCTTAGTGTTGCAAGCTAATGTCGTGGTAGGCTCACATCTAAGTTGTTTTACCATGACAGAAATATTAGATTTCCTAATTTAAGTGACAAAACTTGGGATATCAATTTAACTTGTATGTTTGGTACTTTATGAGGCTTAACGTTATTTATACTTAACTTGGTTACGATAAATTAGACATTTTGGTTCAGTAAGCTAAATTATGTTGTTTAATTATTTTATAATAATTATTATTACCATTTACTTTTTTTTTTGAGGGGATTATTACCATTTACTTGATTAGTACTCTTGATATATTTCATTTGCGTAAACATTATTTTAATGATAAAAATTCAAATTTATTTAGCGTAATTATTTTTGTCATCCTTAATATCGTGCCAACTCATTCTGCTTGAGCATTTTGTCATCTAAATTCTGAATTCTCTGGGTCAAATGCTTCTTGGCATCAGCAATGACATCTGAGGCATGCTGCAACTTCTTTGTTAAATCTGCAACAGCTTTTTCCATATTCCGTTTAGTCACATACATAAGATCTGAGAATGAAATACCCTTCCACCACATGTAACCATAACCCAAAGCGCCCATAGCAGCAGCTGGAACGACAAGGGATGAAAAATTACTTTGTCTAGAACCCCCATTCAGTACTGTGATTGGCCTGCTTGATGATAACTGCCGAACTTCATTTGCTAAACGACGCACCTGAGCAGCTATGGCATCAGCATATTCACTTTCACCTTCAGCCTGATCCCCAGATTTTTCCAATCCCTTCACAAGCAACTGAAGGTCGCCGATCAAATCGGACAATTTTCCATTTTTGATAAGGACGGTGCCGGTGTAACTTGCTCCAGCTATGATGAGGATCTTGGAGATTCCAATTCTGCTTTGCATATTATGTCATTGTTAATATTTATCGGATAATTATTCTCACTCCTTATGTTTGTTGTGTAATATATGTAATTATAATTTATAAAAATAAATAAATAAATATAGATGGACGTTCCAGCAATTCCAACTCTTTTTCCTTCAGTAATCTCCGCAATTTTCTCTGACACAACGTGGAGTGTTGACGCTTAAGCCAACTCAGTTACCTTCAATGGAGTAGCAATGTCTTCATTCATCTTTTCTCCAAACCAAGAAATTCCAACTATGATAGATGGACCTATAGTTGTTACTTTTTATTTACCTCTCGCAAATCATATTAATCCTATTGTAAATTTATTTCAACCACCTATGTAAATTTTATAGTAGAAAAGAAAATATGGTATGTAAATAGACACGTATTATAAATATTTTTAGAATAATATGTAATGTAAATATTAAAATTGTATGTGAGATATAAAAAAGTTATAATTATGTACGTCATTGTAGATATTATCTGTAAAAAAAATTTCTTTGTTGTCACATATAATATTATTAATAATACACTTGTATTTTCAATCTATCTATATATATATATATGTGTGTATAATATTGGTATTAATACGACTAGGCGTTACATAATCTTTTTTATCTTTCATATGAAATAAAGATGAGTTTGATGGGATTAATGAAACTCCAATTGTGTTGAGTTATGTGAAGGTTGTCTTTGTACTATAGTTGATTTTAGTAAATTGTATATTGATACATGTTGTATGATGTATGATGATGATGATGATAGGCTTTAATATGCTATTATGATTAAGTTGTATATCATTGATATGTTATGTATGATGAATGTGCTAAAGTTGCATGGTTGGAGTGGTGTATAAGTATTAATATGTTATGTATGATTGATATGTTATAAATTGCATGGTTGGAGTGTTGAATAAACATTGTTATGCTATTATTGAATGAATAGTTGAGCATTGTTATGCTATTATTGAATAAATTGTTCAGCATTAATTGACATGCTATACTTGGATGAATTATTAAGCATTGTATGCTATACATGATATTTTGTTGATCTCTGTATGCATTGATTGGATGTGATGTATATAGATGTATGATGAGGTGTAGATGCTGAGAATGCGGTGTGACATTAAAGCATGTTGGCTAACTTAGGACTTGAGGAAAAAATATTTTAAAAATTGATGGTCCCACATAGGGTATCTTGGAGTGGTGCTCGGGTAGGCCATTGTTGGAAAACTCTCCTTGAGTAGGTGTGTCTTTTGGAGTGGAATTTTGAGGTGTGTTGAGTCTCCTCTAGGTCCTTATTAGTTAGTGGTTGAGTAAAGTAGGAGGTCGATGACTACGATCCTTAACCAAGTACCTGGAAAACTTGTGTGATTCCTTGAGGATGGTTAGTGGGTTAACTTCACATGTGACTTGGTAATGTATGCTAAGGTCGTGGTACACCTATAACCAATTATATCAGTCCTAATTGTTGAACTAGACTTCCCTAGTGAAATTGATGAGACTCGAGAAACTAGAAGAGGGATTGATATCCTATTTTGCTATGATTGAGTTGACACTTTGGACATGAAAATGATTGGATTGGTTCAATTAGGTGAAAATCACTTAGACTGCTTATGTTGTTAAGAGATTTTCGTAGGTGAATGCGTGACGACATTAGTTAATATATTTGCATATGATGAGTGTTTAGGTGTGTTCATATGCATTGTTGATGTCTTGTGTGACATGATTTGGGTGAGATACATGTTTGCTTGGAGTGTTGTAGCTTTCATGTATGATTGTGATTATTGTTTTCTATATGTATACCTTTTCAAACTCTAACTTACCCTTTCTATTTTCATGGTAGTTTTGGACTGTGATGATCATATGATGTATGAGAACAAATTGAGACTAGGCTTAAAAAGTTACTATGGACAAATGATGCAGTCTTTTGTTGATAGCGATGTTAATGCATGTAGCTTATAAATGTGTTTGATCGGCATTAGGACATGAAATTATGTGAGATTACTGTATACATCTATATATTCTGTTTATATTAGTATGATTATTTTACTTATATATTCATGTTATATATATGTGTGTATATATATATATATGTATGTCATATTTTTTTTTCCTTAATCATGTATGTTATAGTAGTATAGTTTCCACTACTAGTAGTAATTCCGTTGAGTATAATAATCATAGCGGATCGTAACAGTAATTAACATATTAAAATTATGAATTTAATTTAAAAATAAAAATAAGATAATTAATTAATATATTAAAAGATATTGTCATATCATACCATTCAGTCGTAGACAAAATTTTAATAGTATAAGTGGTAAATAATTTAATTACAAAATATTTAAATTGTAAAAAAATTACACTAATTTTAAGTAAAAAAAACCTAATTAAAAAATTGATAAAACTGTAAAGAGCAACGTATTAATTTAACCTATATTTTTATTTTTCTAACATAAAAGATGTGAATAAAATATTATAAATCTGGTTGAACGTTTTTCACGAAGATGTGTAGAGAAATTTAAACTCAACTTTTATAATATTAGTCAACTTTCTATTATTTCCAAATTAAGCTTTTAAATTTGAATGTATGCAAAATGATGGTTAATATATTAGGAACTGTTACGGTATCCATGAAAATTGAAGGTTTTGGTACTTCAAATTATATGAACAAATAATTTTAAAAAATAAATTCAAAATAATATTAATTTTATATTAAAAATTTATATAAGATGAATTAATCAAAAAGACTAATTAAAAAATAATAATCAAAAAGTCAATTTTTATAACAAATTTTACTTATATGTAATAGAATTAAAAAAATTTAAAATTTAAAATTATAATAATATTATAAAAACATTAAAATAAAAAAAGAAAATTAATAAATAATACAATTGAAAAACTAACTTATATTATAAATTTAAAAAATTAACATCAAAGAAAAACTTAATAAATACTATATTAAGATAAAAATTAAAAAAATATAAAAATATAAAAAAAATTATGAAAATAAATTATTAAAAATATTAAAATAAAATAAAAAATAAAATAAGTATTTAAAAAAAATGACTGTTCCGGTACACCGTGAATACAGTAGAATTTTCCTAATATATTACGTAATTTTTCTAAACCTACACATAATTTATTTATTGGTTAAGACATATTTTTTTTATATAGTTTTATTTACTTTATTTTTTTAGTCTTTATAATTTTAAATAAATTATTTTAATTTTTATATTTATTTCTAAAATCTTTGTTAGTTCATATAATTTAATATATATTTTTTAGTCTTTATATTTATATTTTTTTAATTCTTTTACTCTCTGTTGTTATTTTTTTTTGTAATATTGTTTCTTTTGTATTGTTGTGACAAATGTATTAATTCAATTTTGTATGTTTGATATCAAATTTGTTTTGTTGAAATTGTTTTAAATTAAGTTTTTTGAAAATCTGCGTCTTTTTAATATGTGATATCTGAAACATTTTTTATCCTCACAAAAAAAAAAAAATCTACTATATCAATACATAACAAATAACGTTATAATAATAATAATAATAATAATAATAATAATAATAATAGAGACTAAATGAATTATAAAACTGTAAATATAGAATTTAAAATAATTTATCTTAAATTATAAGAATTAAAAAGACTTATCTTAAATTATAGAAATTAAAAAAATTGAAAAATTTAATTAAAAAACTAAAAATATACATTTTAAACTATAAGATTAAAAATAAAGTAAATAAAATATAACTTAAGAAAAAATGTTTTAACCTCATCTCTTTTATCCTTAGAATTGGACCTGCATGTTTCTGTTATCTTCAATCATACATAAACCGAATTATAAACCCACCAAAATTGATGGTCATTTTTTCCTCTAAAATGGACATTGCTGCACTTAGCATTTACATTGTGATGTTTATCAAGTGATTGGTTACGGTTAGGGGTATGAAAAGGAATGAAGGAACATTCTAATTATTATGATAATATCTTACAAATTTAGATAGAAAGCTTTTAATTGAGAATTTAAGTTGTTTCTACTCTTTAAAAAAAAATTATCATAGCTACAATTATATTTTTAACCTATTTGAAAATATATATTTTTTGTTTTCTAAATATTAGCAGCCCTTTTAATCTTAACAATTTATTCTAAAAAAATTATAAATAAATAAATAAATAATAGTTAACTAACTTGCAATATATAATAGTGTATTATTAGACGAGAAAGTAATTTTTTTGTTTCATATTATGGATAGGTTTATTATTTATTGAAATAGTTTAGTGAACAATAGAATATTAACTCAAAATCTTATATTAAAATATGACTCAGAATGTCACTTTCTTATTCTTGTTTACTCTAAAAAAAAACGTGTATTAGCAACAGAACATAATACATAATAGAGAACCGTTCATTCATTCGAAAAGCTAATAATGCATTTGAACATCATTTTAAACACTACAGCAATTGCTTTTTCAACATGAATGCGGCGAATCGTATGCAACATCATGAACACTACAATCAAATGTTTCGTTGACAACATAGTTTTTTTTTAAAATTATTTTTTTAAGTCTATGTATTTATTTTTAAAATTTAATTTAGCTATATTATTTTTAAAAAATTTAATTTTATTCTTTAATTTTTTTAAAAGATGTTCAATGTTATCCTTCCTCCACTTTCATTTATGTCATTGGTGTTAATTTGTATAGAAAGATAACAAATCAAAGAGTTAATTTATTACTCAATGAACTAGAATAAATCGATCAGACCCAATTTATAATAAATTATTAAATTAAAATAAAAATACAATGCACATGACACAACATATAATACACTCCTATGCATAAATTTAATTCTACTTTTTTTTCCACAAAATATTGTAATAATGAGTTGATTGACTAAATTGAATAAGGCATAAAACAAGAAGAATAATTTAATTTAATTTGTTATGTAATTCAAAAATTAGTAATTAGTAAAATAATGTTTGCTTGT